AGAAGTGTTTTTAATGAAGAAGGAAAATGATGCGGATCTTGATGAAAATGAGGAAGATGAGCAAATATACAGAGAACTGGAAGAAAAGAGATAAAATATGGTTAGCATGAATGCTAATAATAAAGTGCAACAGAAGGAAACATACTCAGATTATAGCGCAATAAAAGCAGCCAATAAAATATAAGATAAACTCAAATACAGGCAAATAACATAATTGTAACACGCACAGAAACTTCCAAGATTGGTGCAGGTTTATCTTCAACCAGATYGCAGCATAACTTAAAGTGTTCAAGTCATCTGTTGAAAATTCCGTTTTTTTTTTTCATATCGCAATTTATATCGCAAGGTTAGAAACAGTTGCATCGTCAATTCTTTAAAATATTGCYCAGCCCTAATATCTGCTACACAGTACAAGAAAATTGCACAATAAAAGTAATACATTTTCCAKAAAATATGACTAAAGTTTGTTTAAATAGTTAATAATCAGTTCAAACCCAATAAATTTTTGCTGTAAGGGTACAACTTTAACTAGAGCACCTATGCTAATACTAGGAAAACACACACACACACACACCCACACACACACACATGCTCACACACACACACACACAGTCATGTTTGCGTCTGCATGTTTATTTACTGAAAGAAAATCAGTCACCTTCAAACCAYATTCTTCCAATAAAACCCTTCAGAGAGCTCGACACCTCGCCAAAATTCCCGGTATCACTTCAKACTRGAGTTGCCGGTGGTTCCGCTGCTAGCAGAATGTCTTAAACACTACTAGTGATGCAAATGAGTTCATTAGTGCAGCTAATTAATGCATTAATTAGCAAACACGTCGGCATCAACATGTRGTCACCAAACAGATGGACGACAGTAGCTTCGATGCAACTCGGGCTTAAAGTGGTAACAAAGTGGCCGCTTGAAAATGAGCTTTTTGTCYTTAATATGCAAATGTATGCAACGAGTTACTTCAAAATTTATTCGGATCATTTGTTTTTGTTGGAAACTCAGAGTATAGAGAGGCTAATTTTTAATTTATTTAATTTTTTTGTCTTTATTTGTTTGCAAAAATGTAACTGCACAGCCCATTCAATTCTACAGTGCTGCCCGAGTGTGTGACCGCCACGGCTAACCACAGTAAGACAAGGTCACTGCAAATGGCTCAGCCTCCGCAGACAATTCACCTGCTGATTAGTCCTAATTCAAACAGACGAGGGTGGGCAATTGTGTATGTCTGTGTATTCGAGAGAGTGTCGGATGGAGAAAGATGGAGAGGCAGAATGCATGGTTTTGTCAGCTGCAAGCACGTTTGTGCATCTAAACGTTGCACGCATAAGTAAGTGTGTGCACGCGTGTGTGTGTGTATATAATTGCAGGTAAGTCTACCAAGGTCACACCATTCCTGCCCTGCATCTCAGATGAACTAAAGAGTCCCTGAACTGCTGCTCCTCATACGCAGAGACAATACGTGCCTTTGAATTAAAATAAGTGTCATCTCTCTGCGGTGCCTCTTTTAAATTTGATTATCCTCACAGATCATGAACCTGCCAGTGTGTCAGTCAAACTCCTTGATTTTAACAACCTTTTTGATTATTTTGTAATCAAGCCACKCGCTGCAGTCTGATCTTTGTTAAACAGGTTGTCATCGTTCAGTCGAAAGCAGTGAAAGATAAGCAATAATTTAGCGTGTTCGTTTACCTTAATGCAGGGCTATTCAACTAGCGGCCCGCGGGCCGGATGACCAAAGTTTGGCCCGCTAATTGGTTCATTCATCTTTTAAGCCCAAACCCCCGGTTTTCTACTTTAATTACTCCAAGTTATTTTACTTAAACATAGACATATTTGGTGTCTACAGAAACTTCAGAATRTTGGCTACAAGCTGGTAAAAACCATTTTAATGAACATCAAAGACAGTTAAAACTACAAGAAGTTGAAGATAAAACTATGAAAGTGAAATAAAATTGGTTTAAAAATTTGGCAAGTCAGATATGTCAAAATATTTTGTGGTACAGTAAATAAGAGACACAATATGTTTCTTTTTTTTGTTTTATCATCACTACATTTATTAAATATGGTTCTGTATGTTTTCATGATTAAATACAGCAAAATAAACAAATTTAAAGGTAACAGATCTTTGTAATACTTAGTTTATTTTCATAACTTTAATTGCTGGATGTTCGGCCCCTGAGCTGTTGGTCTGCATTAACTGTGGCCCCCGGAGCAATTTAGTTGAATAGCCCTGCCTTAATGCCGGTTCGTAACCAATTAAATGATTGAATGTGAAAAGAGTGAGTCATACAGCCAGCAGCGCTGGACTGAACCACGTTTACTGACTGCTCGGTGTATTCAGCACACGAACAAGGAAGTCCTGTTCTTTATAACACTTTCTTCAGAATTTGACCCTGCCTACCAAGTTTGACATCACTGAAGGGGGAAATCCTATCCTCTAGGATCAAATTCTCTTGACATAATTCCTGTTTTGGCTAGTGTTTCTTTACATTCAGTCATTATGTGTTGGATATACTGTATGTTCAGGCATGCAGCTACTTCAAGCATGTACCTTCCGCTC